GATGGAAGACAGAATCGTTAGTAAACATCAATGGATCGTTTCTATCAACAGTGGAATATTGTACCTTCTGAACTGGGATATTGTGGCTACTTTAGTAATACTAATTAGTAATACTAATATTTATTCTCCTCTGAGCATCTGTTCGTGTAAGACATCTTCTGGGTTCCACCTGAAAGTGAATCAAATCAATAAAACCTAGACTAAGAGCCATAGTCTACAGGTATTATATATGATATTATGATATAAAATGCAGAACTCAGTGCTCTTCACAAATGTTCCCCATTCTCCCACACAGTTTGTAGTGTGTTTTGTTTTGGTCTTTGCACCAATTCCGTTGTAGCTGTACAATGACAAGGTTTGATTTATGACTTGTCTTCTCATCCAAAAGTAAAGCTGTGGTGTTTTGTAGAACAGTGCCTAGAACTGAGTGTCTTGGGTTGGGTTGTTGTTTTGGCTCAGTTTTACCTGTTTCACCGGCTGGTTGTTGTTGTCTAAACTCCCACTGCTGCAGGAAAGGTGACTGTGTACAGACGGTGTGTCCTGGAGAATTAGAAGAAGAAAAAGAAATCAGAAACAGTTAACATCAGAAAATGTGGCAATGAAAAAAGTGATTTGTTCTGTGATCTGTTTTACCACTGGAGCCTTTGGCTGCGAGGATTTGAATGGATTCACTTTCTGCATCATTCCAATCATTATCCCAGGATTCTGAGTCATTTGCAGAAAAAAATGGTTCCAACCACATTAGACACAACATGACACTGTGAACAAATGGACATATAAGAGTCTCTTATTAGTCACCTGTTTGGAGGGCGTCAGATTCCCACCATCTGGTTCTGTACCATCATCTTGTGGGTCGCTCTTTGGCGTCTTCATCGGAGGAAGACAAAAGTATAAATGTTTACAAATAAGGACTGGAATTTAAGGCTTGGATTAAGTGTTGTTTATTGACATGGAACATAATCACTGTAGCTGAATATACAGACTGTTGGACTTTAATAGAGTTTTTCCATAATTGACTGATTATATGTCCGGTGTCTTGTCTTATCCTACATTTCTGGCATCTGTACCTGAGTGGTTGAACTGAAGGGGTTGACCTTCTGCATGACTCCTTTCAACTTCCCAGGATTCTGAAATTACACAAACTGACCGTCATCATCTTTTTGTCCTGTTAAACCAGAGGAGAATATACACACAACTGTAGAACTTTTAGTTCAAGGAACTGTTTATAGCAGGGTCTATAGGCAGCTGTATAAATGTCGTCTCTAGCACCTGGTCTCCTTTATAGACAGAAAAAGTAGTCAAACAGCTTCAAAAATAGGACAACGCCGCACTCTTGTGGTGAAAGATGTGAATTGCAACTTATTTCAATCAGCTTTGATGGACGGACGAACAGATAGATCAGTCTTTATTTGATCCTTTAGCAAGTGAAAGAAAAGAAATTGAAGAGATTTAGCTGAAAACTACTGTTATTTTCCCCATAAAAAAAGTTCCACAGTGTGCTGCACCACTGCACTTACTCGGTCAGTAGGTAAAATCTTACTGAGTCGGCCAATCAAATTCAGGTTAAGGTCCAGTCATCCGGATCTCTCAGTTCACAGCTACAAAATAGTGTTGGATTTGTCTTTAATTCTAAATTTAAGCTTTCACTGACCTGACTAGAGTCTGAAGCTCGGGTCTGCTCCACTGACTCTGAAGATGGCGCTGTAGATACCTATGGGAGAGAAACCAGATGAGTCAAAATCAGGGTCAGAACCAAGGGACCATGTGACAAAGCAGTGGTTACCTGTGAGCTGGACTTAAACGGGTTGACCTTTTGCATGACCCCTTTAATACCACCAGGGTTCTGAAACACAGAGGATAGAAGGAACTTGAACCTGCATTTGCCCTGAGCTGGGTTACTGCAGCGCTCCATTCTTCCTCTTCCTCATTTCTATCTGAGCTGTAACTGTAATACCCTGAGGATTACAGTTACACTTCCCCTTAGATTACATTAGCCTAGCTTGCTGCAGTAAGTCTGGTCAGAATAGTTTGTCCTTTTAATCAAACCAAAAGACAAAGGGAATAAAGCTAGTAGAGACATCATGTTTGACTTCCTGTCACCTGGGTGCTCTCTGTTCTCTGTTCCAGTGACTCTGAAGAAGAAGAAGTGCTGCCAACTGTGTGCGCTCCCTGAATCAAGGTGAGTGAAATGTCAAAAAGACAGCAATGTCAACAGTGTATTTAGTTATTTGTTTGTAGAAAACACTGAATACTCTTACTAAAGTGTGAATACCTGTGATGTTGACTTGAAGGGATTGACATGTTGGATAACTCCCATCACACCAGTCCTCTGATGATGACAGACAGATCAGTCATCAAAAACAATAAAAAAAAAAAGTAATAATACGTTTTGACGTTGAAACAAAAAATCTGGGGAGAAACTACCCCTGGTTCTCACCTTTGTCTTTGTGTTAACTTCATTTGTCACTGCATCGTTGTTGTCCTACGGCAAACAACGACAACAACAGTCAGAAGAGTTGTCAGTAGAACCTTGTGTACTTTGGAGTAAAAACACATTCACCTGTGAGCCCATCCCAGCCTCCTTCCTCTGCAGACTGTGTGTGATGGGATTATCAAGTTCCTGCAAGTACTTTTAGCTCAGTTAGTGTCTCTCCCCCTCCCCCTCTCTCCCACACACACACACCTCTTCACTCACCTCTTTGGAGGGTCTTGGTGGCACCACTGGAGTTGTGGCTTGAAGGCCTTTGTCTCTTCTGAACATGTTCATGTTTTTGCTAAAATAAAGATTTTTTTAATACTTTTACAGTGGTGAAAATAATAGAAAACACAATGAAACAATTACACAGATAAAGATTTGTTTTTAGCATGAATGTGTTCAATGTTTCAAAAAGCCACAACCAGGTAAATGTCACATGTTTTTAACACAATAAGGTACACTTCAAACTATGGAGGAAAAAAAGTGCCAACATTTAATATGGTAAGTACACCATTAAGTAAAAACTTAAATGTGTCTTTAATTCATTAAAATATTAATTAAATACATAAATATGTATAAATGTTCATGCATGCTACTTGCATGGATCAGACTAGAATAGCGTTAACCCACCCTCAGTTTTGATGGGACAGACTTGCACTGTAACATTAAGAGTGAAATAGTTATATATGTTTTGGGTTTGTTTGGGTTTTTTTTTTACATAAAATGAATTGGTGATTTAATAAATTCATTATTTATTTAATGACATTTTTAATTAATTTATGACACATTTAAGAAGTTAATGACGTGTTTATTTATTTGATGTTGGCACTTTTATACAAAACGAAGCCGTCTTCGAACGTTTTACCTGTTAAACAGTGACGAATTAGAATGCATTTCTAGTCAAGCGTCACGAAACGATTTTTCCACTATAATCAGATGTACATTCATTGGCTTAACTGACACATAATAATGACGTGCTTTCTTGACGTGATGTTTTGGTTTATTTTAAAACGTCACCTGCTAGCGCCCGCCTACCCTGTACAACTGGCTCTGACATCATTGGTATTTCAGTGATTAAACTTGAAATATTTCCAGTTTTTATTAGTAGGTCATAAGCCGAATTATTTGTTATCCTTCAATGGACACGAAACGAGTCTTAAAGTAAATTCAACAAGTGTACGTCGTTTTGAAACAGCATGAAACCCTCTAAATTGACCGACTTTAGAACGGGATTTGGGTTGCTAACGTCGCTATAAGTTTCATGTATCGTAGTCGTCCTTTGCGTCTTTGAGGGACACGGCGAAAAGAGCAGATGTCAAGCCTACCTTTGTTGTCGAACCAGGGGAACTAAGAATATAGAAAGAAACGAGCGTTAATGCTTGAAAAAAAAAGTAGTGACAATGTTCGTTTTTCTCTTCCTCCTCTCACCAGAGGTGGAACAGGTTTGGCAGAAGTGAAGGCGGATCCTGTTGGGAGTGAAGTTACTGACGATCCCCTGGCCCTGCTCTGATTACAGGCACAACAAAGTTCTACTTGCTCCACAAAGAGGAAACAAAGAGCAGAAACCAACCTGGAGGTAAGAAGTGTGGAACACCACACCGGCAAGAGTGTTGATTCACATCACCTGAAAGCCCAGACACAGGGGGCGTAGCCTCGTTACTCGTGGTCCATGTGTCAGGGCTTCAAAATAGGTAATGGTTGCACTTGATGTGACACTCAGAGTTGTAATTAGGAAGTAAAGACATGATTTTGTTATGTTGGACAGAAAAAAAACACAGCAGCCAAAAGTTAAAGCCAACTTTAACATAGTCAAATTATTTAACAAATAGTCACAAAGTACAAGGAGTTTTGATGCCAGGAAAAAGCTAAAGGTTAGCAAGAGCATCAGAGGGGTAAACTAGCAAAAAGGTCATAAGACTGCATGTTCAGCAAAAACCTAGTTAAACCAAACAGAGGACAAACATCTGTTCTTCAGGTTTGATCTCTCTTATCTTTGTGCTCCCTATGCAGAAACTAAAGTCAAACAGGAAACTGTTGACAAACTGTCTTTATTCAAATGTAAGAGTTGGTAAATATCTTTAGCCATTTATAGTTGATTTACATTCAGTTAGAAAAGATTAGATGCACAGAGAAAATCAATCAGTATCTATTCAGTGTCATCAAACGCTGATGTTTACAGCAGTTTCTGCAGGATGTGACCGGAAGTCTATCCAGTATTTCTTTATACATGTTTATCTTTTGAAAACTATAGTGAAGATTAGTTCCTGTTAGTGGGTTTTAAAAAGTTGTAAGTGTAAAGTCTTAATTTCTAGGCCAGTAAACTTTACTAAAGAAAATATAAATACACATTTTTAGCAATTACAAATTAGAAAGGACACTTAGACACATTTCAACTCCATAAGCAGTCAATTTTACCTGTGATTTGTTACAATTGTCTGAGTGATTGTACTGTGATTGCCTTTCCGAACAATGGGTCAGGGCTCAAAGGTGTGTTTCAGGAGAGTTAGTTTGGGTTGACAGAAGGAAGAATTTTATATATATTTTTGTATTCATCACACTATAAAAGTTTGGATAACTTTAATAACCCTAAAAAATAACCCTAAAAAGTTAGTCAATGGCCATGAGTTTAGAAAACACTGTTTCAAATTATAATGTGAGGTGATCCTTACAATGTGTTCATGCCTGAGAAATAAGTGATAATATATACAAAAAATAATCACCAGTGTGTCACCAAAGTAACAAATATTCTCCCAACATCACAATTTTTACTTAACATTACACTAAGAGCAAATATGATTTTTCTTGTAAGTTAAATAACTTAGTGTTCTCTTTCCTTCTTGTGCCAGCAGAGGATGGTGTTGCTCACTGGACGCTTCAATCAGACATGTCCCGTGGCCTCCTGCAGCTGCTCCCTGATGGCGTTCAGCTCCACCAAGGAGTCGTTCAGTTTATTGGCCGCCGTCTTTATCTCCCCCACGATCTCCTTCTTGCAGCTCTTCTTCAGCTCCCTGGACTCTTTGAGGAAGTAGTTGTCCATCCCGTTGAAGAGTCCCTGGACTAAAGTGACGGCGTCGTCCGCCACCTCCACTGCCTGCATCACAGGTTTGTCCACCTGGCCGATGATCTGGACCGTTCTCCGGGTCTCCCAGTCCGATGAGTAGTGCTGTGTGCCACATCTGAGATAGGGATGACCACGGAGTTTGTACAAGCCCTTATCAATAAAGTGGAGGATCTTCCCGATGTCCAGCAGGTGGCCTTCATATTCCAGTAAAACTGCCTCGATCTAAAGGAGGACCAAGACTTCAGTCAGTGGTGAGTGAACACTGATTATTTACAGTAAAACTTCTCGATTCAGGGTATCTGCACATTTTAGATCTACAAACTTTATTACCTTTAAGACCTTTTTAAGAATAAAAATTAAGACCTTTAAAAATATGAATTAAATTACACTTGAAGCTGTTCAATTCAACAAATTATAGGAAGTACAGGATTGAGCGGCTAACCATTTGCAAGTTTAGTACTTGGGTAGAATGTACTGAATCCATTACTTGTAGTTTTACGTGGTCCCAAAAACACAAACGCGGACGCAACGTTAGTGTTAGCATATGCAGTACAACATGCAAATAGGGTTTATAGTGAAAACACCCCACCCCCACAGTGTGTGATGGCTGAGCAATTGAAATCAAATTTTGAATTAATCACCCAGCCCTTCTTTACAGTAGCGTGTTTCCAGTATATTTCACACTTTTTTAGTAGTTTCTGTTTGTCCTTTGACTTGAAATGAAAAATATACCCCATATCATCTATGGCCACCAGAGGGAGCCCCAGAGTTGGCAGAATTGTATAGAAGCCACATTGATGATTGAATGATCTGTAATAAGGGCAGGTGCTTTTTAACACGTTACAGCAAATTATTTATTTAAATATTTATGTTCTTCAGGCTATTTTTTAATTATTAGTCCAGGTTCCATGTTAACTTGCAGTTTTCTACTTAAACGTTCTATAGAAAGCTATATAGTTAAGTATAGTTAAGCAGTGTAAGAAACTATGCAACACTGTCAGAATTAGCTAGATATTAGCCAAATTATCTGCCCTTCCCCCCAAAAAAGAAAAAAATGCTTTTTGCCAAAAATACAGCATGTGCTAGCCAAGCTAATTCAACATAGCCTCACCTTCTTCCTGTCGTGCAGGCTGTGACGATTATCAGAGATGGCTGCAGAGGCTGACGTAATCCCCCCGGCCGTGGCCACGCCCACACCCACAGCAGTGATCAGCAGAGAGGTGCCAAAGGTAATGGGGGCCAGAGCTAGGCCCACGATGGCCGCCGCTCCGCCTACGGCGCTGGTGCTGCCTCCAGAGATCACCACCTTCTTGGCCTTCTCATGGTACTCACTGATGTCATCGGCGATGGCGTGCAGTCTGATGATGGCCAACCACAGGAACTCAGCTCGCTCTGTGAAGACCTGGTTGAAGAGACGCAGGCCGCGTTCTACTTTGTCCGACAAGATGCTAAAAGACCTGGAGGGGTGTTGGAACAGAGGCTGGATGAGTAACTGCACCTTGGAACTAATAAATTCTTAATTAAGTCTTAGCTCATGTTGACACTATTCTTAAACATATCCAGAGTTGTCTGATAGCTCTCCTTCTCCACAGTCAGGTCAGATTTGTTTTCATTTTTGTGCTCCTGTAGTTCGTTAAGAAGGAAGTGCTTGATGCTCTTTTACTTCCTCGTTTTCAGATCCAAACCTGTTCATTAACCAGTGCCAAACCTCCAGGACACCACTCTGTTTAATCTGTTGTACTAGTTTGGAGTGAGGCCAGTAATAGTAAGGACACCCACTTGTACTCGTCCTCGTCTTTGTTGTCCTCTTCATCTGACGGCACCTCATCCCACTCTGAAACGACACATTTTTAAGACTCTGTTAACTGACTGAAAGTTAGTGCAGAACAGGAAATGAACAAAATGAGCAGAAAAACGTTAACTTTAAAATCTAGTCTAAAATGTATCTACGATGACTGCTAACTAATGACTGAAAAGATTTCTTGTGTGTGATGTGTGGGGCCAGAGACAGACAGAGAGAGAGGACCAGTTTTGTTGTTGGCTACAGCCCACAGTAGCCTGTGTGGCTGATTAAACCTTTAAACCCCTATGCAGGCAGCAACACTGAGTCTGGATCTGATGGAGAGTTCTTCCTTTTATCCCCGCTGTTGTTATAATGCTCACTCAGTGTGACTGTAACCTTATCCTCATTTAGTCTGTATTGTTAATTTAAACTCAATATAGACATACATACGCCTCAATTTTTCTCCCTGTTAAATGTTTTTTTAAAATATCATTTTAAACTTTATTTCAAATTCTGAAGTCCAATGAGACAAATGTGAAGCTAAATAAAATTAACTTGAATTAGAGTCAAAAGCACTTGGCAGTATCATAATTTTGTACCGAGAGGTCCTACAATATTTGTTATCAAATAGACGCTAATATATTTATCATTTATTCATTCATATTTATCAGTGTCAATGTCCATATAACTGATACCAATGTTCATCCATTACATTCCTAAACATTTGTTTTGTTTTAGCTTAAAACAGAAGCCAAGAAGACTAACTTGAGAAAAGCTTTAAATGAGGCCTAAAATATTTTAAAACAACTCCAGAAATCTGTAGCGAAATAGATGAACTAAATAACTATTAAAATGTACTCACTCTCCACAGTGTCCCACCAGGCCATCAGACTGTCAGTGTCCTGGAGTCAAATACACACAGAGAATGTTGATTAAAGATTAAAAATAAAATAAATAAATAAATCAGAAAAACCTTTTTTTAACTTCACTGTAAAAAAAAACTCACTCCATCATCCTCTTTGTCATCTTCCAGTTCCACCATAGCTGTGCCATCCTTCTGAGCTGCCAGCCACTCAGCCTAAGGAGTGAACATGGTGTGAATACAAGTGTGATCACATGTAAAACCAATCTTACTTACTGTAGATAAAAAGCTAAAGCTTCAGTAAAACACAATTAAGAGACAGGTTGAAGTATTTCAGAAGCAGATCTGTCAGCTCTCCACTCCATTTAAAAGGCAGAAACAAAACATACTGTTCACCTGAACCAGAGTCTACGGGAAAAAGTGTGATTTTTAATTAACAGACCTGAGCAGCTTCAGACATAAAATCACTCGATGCTGCCTCTGGTGGATTCAGATTGTTCTGGGAAGACACCAGACAAAGGTAATGTAAAGTCACAAGTCTTTCCAAATTCTTTGGTATCTCTCATTGCTCAAACCTACCTTAGGCTTAAACAAACGTTTGAGTTTTGATGACCTTTTCTGTTCGAAGAGAAACAAACTAAATATTCAGATGTGCACTGTGTGAAGATGATTGATGTAGATGTAAGAATCGATAGTTTTACCGGTTTGCGGATTTCGTCGTCGTATTGTTCAGTCCCATACAAATCTGCTGGGCTCGTGACATCATTTCCTGTCAGATCCTCCTCCACAAAAGAAGCCTTTGTATGAGATGCCCATGAAGTAGTTAACATAAAGTGGAAATATAGACCATGATGTTTATATGAGTGTCCACAAACATACTTCAGTTGTCTGCTGAGGAGTGAAGTGACTCCTGGAGACCACCTCCTGTGGTCCAGGTGGGGTACAAGACAGAGTTGGAGTCCTGGGTTTGAATTCATTCTGCAAATGAAAAAGTATTATTGTAGTTTACATTGATATTCACATGCATCAGGCAGATGGCATAGTGAGTTGGTTCTTAAACTATGGAAAATGTACCACTGGTGGCACTTGGTACTTTTTTTTTAAATAAATGCATCTTGCATCTTGTAGTTCCTTTACTTCTACTTCACTGTATAGTGTGGCTTTGCAACTCCAAAGAGTTTGACAACCAGTGAAGTAATGACTAAATACCTCCTGTGTACTTCGTCCATTGTTGTCCAACGCCTCTGCTGAGCAGCTGCTCCTTGTTTTTGTGTGACTGTTGTCTAACGTGTACTCCTAACAACAACAACAACAATGCACCAATAATGTCCATTACATGGTTCTTCATTGTCCATGGCAAAATAGCCTAGGGATAACACCTAAGATTAACACTCGTGCAAATTTCTTCTAAAGACTTTGGACTAGTTTAATCCACAGAAGTTTATTGGAGTTAAGTGGTAAACAATTTGGATAATTAGACCAGCGTTTAAATCTTTGCTTTCATGATCCCGCCTTGTAACATTAAAGGGATTTCTCTTAAATAATTATCTTTTGCAGAGTGTGAACCAGATTCACGCAAGAAGATTTTTCCTTCTTGGTCCCAGTTTCACCCAGCAGTAAAAGTGCATTGCATCTCATAATCCATGGCAGAATAGCCATATATTATTATATACATAATATTTTTGTTTCCATTTTTCGGACTTTGTATCACATTCATAATGATATACATTCAATACACTCCCACATTTTACTAGAGCCTGGTCCAGGGATTGATCTCAGACCCAATGTTTCACAGTCTGTTCTTCTCTGAACCACTCAGCCTCATATTTAACCTCTGACAGAACTCTGGTTGTGTGAGGCTGAGATTCAAACCCAGATCCCCTGCTACTTTTCCACTGAGCCATTCTGCCATGTAGGAGAACTCTGATGTTCACCCGGCTGCATATATTGAGGCTTGCCATATTATTTTGATGTATGTTTGGGGCGTTATCAAATTTTACCACTGGTGAATTTTAGAGCTCTCTACATTTTTGTTCCCATTCTCCTTAGTAAGTAACTTATTTAGTAGAAACATTTATGCACTATAGTTTGAAACATTGTAGTTGACTTTTACCTTTAACTTTTCACCTGGCACGTAGTGGTCATACGAAACGAAATTTTCATCCAGGGTTTTTTGCTGAAAAATAGGAATTGTAAAAATATTTGCACAATAATTCAAAAGCAATTCAAATGTGTTTCTTAATCTAATGTTATTTTATTGGATAAAAGCCCCTACTTTTGAGGCTTTCTTTGGTGAATATCCATGCGCCCCTTTCAGTTCATCATTACCCTGGAGGGAGAAAAAAAAAAAAAACTTTAAACTTTAAATTAAAACCTTTTGTTTGATCTTAATTATGTTGTGTTAGAAATTATTTTTACTGGTATATTCTGCTTATGATCAACACATTTAGCCTTGAATCACACAGGATTTCCTCCATTGTGTTCTCTAAACAGACAAACGCTGAGGGCTGTTTAATTGTAAAAAGTTAGACGTGTTGACCTGTTTTAAATTTCAGTGTAGCACACCATCATTTTTGTTCTTCTGAACTAAGAACCTTGATATTGGTCCTGAAAACAACAGCTTTGACAGTGTGACAGAGAGACATGAGTTAACATTATCCTGGAGAGTGATACCTCCAAGAAATATCATCAGTTATTGTCACACCCAGGGGATACTGATGGTCAAGTCTCCTAGAGCATCAGAATCAGATCATTTTGGATGAATTGCACTGGTTAAAAACTGACTTAGAATACTAATGTAGTTCATTGTAGTCCTGTATCTGTTCAGGAACTCTAAAGAAACATTTACTGGAATTTAATGACAATATACACGTCAGATGACAAACCTTTGATGCCCGGGGCAGATGGTCACTCGTGGTTTTACCGTGTGACACAGACATGGCTGTGGATGACCTCCTGAGCAGCTGGTTCACTCTGAGCTTCAAAGGTTTCTTCTGATGAAATTCAAAAGAATCAATAAAACACTGCAGTTATGCTTCTATGCTTTTATAAATGCATAAGTCACATGTAGTCAGAAAAAGAATGGCGAGATACTCTGTATTCCAGTCCTTCTTCATTGTCTGCGTGAGCCATTTGTCCTTCTGAGAAATACTCCTGGCAGAAGACAAGAGCTCAATTCAATTATAAGACAAAATGTATTTCTATTCTTTTTATACATTTTACTTAGTTATGTTTTTAGACCCTACTAAACTGAGTCTGAGAAAAACAGCTGAATTTTCACAATAAAATTTTGAGTCCATTGAACTTACTTTTTTTTTGTGAATTATAGTTTGATATGCAGAGATAACATGGACTTAAAGGACTGTCTTATGATCCCTGATAAGTCTACACTTGATTTGGGTTGGAATTGACATTTGTAGCCTTTTGAAGGGGTAGGGACTAAGAGACTGTGGGTAGACAAAAAAGCTTTATTTCTAAACTGTTACCTTTGGAGATTTATGGGATGAAGGAAGTGTCATTGTCTTCCTTTCTCTCATATCATCAGGGACGTTTTCCTGCAAAGTTAAGAACAAATGAGTTTAGTCACAAACTGAAAACCTTTAACTATAACTACTAAAAAACAAACTATACAAGATGCTGGACTTCTGCTGCGCCTCCAACATTACAGCACTATAACAACAGAGCCTCCTGAGCATTAGGTCAACAGTGTGTTGTAAAAAACAAAAGTTGGAGTAAAAGTTGTTGGGAGGAATGGCCACTAAGTATGAAAGAAGGGAAAAGTAAGAAAAAGAGCCGGATGAAGAGCTACTGGATAATCTAAAGACGAGCTCTGACAAGGTTACTCTAGAAAATATTCACAGCAAAAGGCCAGCAGCCATGACAAAGTCTTGATTGGAGATAGTTCATAAAGAGACGAGAGACTTGAGAACGCTATTGGTAAAATGCTTCTCTTCTGATAGCTCACCCTGGAACTCCTTATGGAGAGCATGGACATTCTGAATTTCTTTTCTTTTTTCTGAAACAAACATTAAAATCGAAACATTTGAATTAAAAAAACATTCACATGGAAACCAGTAAACACTATTTGTTTAGATTAGGTCAGGCATTACCCTGGTTCCATAGACATCTGGGTCATCGCCACTCCCTCCATCAGAATCTACTTTATTCTATAAAAAAAAAACCAGGTAGTTATTTTTGACCCCCTAACACAAACTAATAAGATAATGTCACTAAATGCTACTGGAAGAATTGTCCCTCCTACCTTTACCGACTCTCGCCGCAACCGTAACTTTCCAGACTTAAAAGACAAATATTTGTCAGAAACAGACAGAAAAATAGTTGGATGTGCAGATTTAGAATAGTTTCTTACTGGTTTATAGTCAACGCTGAGCTCAGGACTGTCTTCAGGCCAGTCTTCTACACACTTTTCCTGTTTGAAAGATGTGTAAAGTTTTATTTCAGTTTGTTCTTGTTTGAAAAGAATGGAAAATGCTTGATTTGCAGGTTGTTTTTTTTTATTAAGAACTTAGAATTGTTTCAAAAAATTGTCCAAAGTTTATTGAAATCTGTCTCAATAAAAATGTACTGCAACAAATAAGTTAATTTAGAAGTATATAAAAACTGCTATAGATGAAAAACTAAAAATGAACTGAGACATAGCTCTGCCTCAATGTGGAAATCAAAAAGATAGCCAGTGATATATCAAAAGCCAAAAGAGATCATAAAATAAAATAAATGGCTGAGCAAAGGTCTGATATACTCTCAGAAAACCACACATGAAGATGCAAAAAAATTTTAAAAAGTGCTGAAATATTTCTAATATCAATAGTCTTCAAACTAATTAAGTTAAGTTGGATAATTTTCCACAGCCCACCTGATCTCAGTGGGTTGGAATCACTGACAAATAAAAATAATCTCATCCTTCTATTATCTGTCCTCTGCAAGCGTTGCGGCCTGGTGCCAACTCCCAGCCGCCAATGTATGAGGACAGAGTATTAATTTTTAAATAGCAACATTGAAAAAAAAACAGCCAGAGCTGAGCAGAAGGAAATCATGTTTTAAGATGCTGAAACTGTTAAAAACATGGCTGGGAAAACCCCACAACAGCACTAAACCTGCTAAGTCAAACAGTAATATTTAACTTTATTCACAAATACCTGTCCAATAAGCAGGATGTCCTCAAACATGACATAGTTGTGAGGGTCTAAGTCCTGTTGAAAACAAACAGAAAATCATTATAATTGTGATTAAAGTGAATAGGTCAAATTCAAATCAGTGACGTACTGTTGTTTTGGGTTTACGAGGAATGACTGGCTTTGGGAGGGGCTTGAAAGCTGGTTTAGGGGATCTTTTGGGTGCAACTGCTTCAGGTTTGACCTAAAAGAAATTCAGCACGGACAGAGTTAGGATTAAACAGATAAAAAAATGCTTTGTTGAAATTCCATAGAATTCTGCATTTGCATACAGCCATTGGTGTTGTTTCTGGTTTTGGTGGTCTCTCTGGTTGCGGTCTATCTGGCCTGGGTGGCTTATCTGCCCTTGGAGGTCTAGTTCGAGGGAGTGGCTTTGGTGGACGTCTAAAGGTGTGTGCCTACAAGTTCATTTACACATGTCATTAATCAGGTCATACAATAGAAATGGAGCTGGCAGCTTTTTATTTGGCTGCCTGCATAAAAAATTGGTACTCTTTCAAAAAAATGCACTAAAAACTTCAGCTCAATCAGTTCAGCTATAGAAATGTGACAGGAATATAGATTTTTTTTTTTTTTTTTTTTTTTTAAAGGTGTCCTCGGACAATTTAAATCTGGAATCAAATGTTGAAATTGACACGTGAAATGCAGGTTACTGGCTATTGGTTTGCTGTTCAAGATTGTTAAAAGCTTTGTCTTCTATTTAAACTCAACAGTACAATGTCAGGCCTCATTCTGCCCAGGTTACAATAGTGTGGGTCCAGTTCAGATCTGTGTCCTGCTGAAAATCTCTGGCACATTAGTAAGACTATGACCACAGACTTTTGAACTCAGGCAACAGTTGCATGTCGCTGCTTTAATGGGTCCAAATTGTTTTATTCATTTTGATTTTAGTCCATATCACCCAGTCCTAGTTAAAGTGCTAACTATAAATATTATTGTTTATAAGGCCAACATTAAGGCACTAATGTATTAATAAACTAGTGGAGATCAGATCATTTGTAATCTATCTAACTACATGGGCAGAATGAAGCACACTATGTCCAACACCTTGTCTTCTTCTACAAAGTCAATGTGTGTCATTTTTATATCTTGCCGTTCTACTGTTCATATGGCAATTTTTGAAAGTGTACCAACTTTTCTAGGAACACAGTTGGTCCTCATCTGTCCACAGGACGCCAGTTACATACATGGTTCAACTCTGGAGAATGATCAGGTGATGAAGGCACATTAAGGGCCTGACTGAAAGGAGTAGGTTGAAGAATCGTGTGTTTAGTTTCCTGAGGAAACGTCATGACAACATTATCATAGATGTTGAAGGACCCCGGTTGGACAGCTGGAGGACATGCTAAAGACACTGCTCTGAGATCTGGTGATGGGAATTTGTCAGACATCTTATCAGTTGGTCTCTCAAGCAGCACACTTGGTCTTAAAGGCTTAAGGGCAGTTTGGACTGGTTTGAAGATGTCTGCAGTCTCACTTGAATCATCTTTGAAAGGTTCAAACTGTTTTGAAGTTGTGGCACCAAGTGGATTTTCCCAGCTCTGAGTCTTAAATGAGGCATCACTGCTTGGCATTTGAAATAAATCCATGCCATGTGTCGTTGAGGGAAGAGGTTGGAATATATCCGGGGTCTCATCTGATGTCTTTCTGGAGGCATTGTTTCCTTTCAAAATAGTGGAACCAAATGGATTCTCCAAAGGAGAATTACTTTGGGTTGCACCAAATAAAGGGCTGTTGTTCTTCGTTCGGGCCACAGGTTGGAAGATATCATGAGTCCTGTTTGAAACATCTTGAAAAGGATCAAACTGTTTTGATGGAGTGGTACCAAAAGGATCTTCTACAGTGGAGGGGTCATGGAAAAGATTCTTTACAATGGGGCTTGGGAAGGGATCATATGAATTTGTGGAAGATGATGAAAATATATCCCGACTTTCCTTAAATGACATGCCACTAGAGAGATTCTGCTTGTTTTCATTGTCATAGAAGGGTCCTTTACTCATCATTGTTTGAAACAAATCTGTTTCATTAGTGGATGAAGTGTAAATCCTGTTTCCAGGTGTAGGCTCCAATGTCTGGAACAGATCAACCTCCTTGGTTGAAGGGTTCAAAGTGTTTGGTAAAATCACAGAAGACCTATTTAAGAGGTCCACCTCCTTAGCTCGTGCTGTAGGTTGGAATTCTACTGCTTTAGTAACCTGGAGAACACCATCAATGTTAAGGTGTTCAGAATTTGTGGATTTCCATGATTCAGAGACATCTTGTGGTTTATGAAGCCCTGCTGGGAATAAGCCTGATTGAGTTTCATCATGAAAATGGCCATTTGCAGCCTTTTTTTGGGCAAATGTTGATGAACGGTAGAGTTCTTGCATGAGTTTGCTTGTCATTTCTTTCTGTGGTTCAGAACAATTGTTGACAGGTCCAATCTTCTTCAGCTCAGATGGGTAGTCCAAATGTGAGCGTTGGAATTGAGGTGAAGGGGTGGAAGTGCCGATTTTTTCTTTCTGTCCAGTTGTCATTCCTTCATCCTCCATCAAATGGCCTTTGCTGCCTGATTCCTGTTGGTGTACCACAAAAACAGTATTGTCAGAAAGTGCTAGAAGTTATCCAAATTCTTTGTTATTGGAATTTAATGTACATACCAAATAGTATGCATAAAATGGATTTGTTTTGACCAAATCCACATTGACTCCATTCTAATGCACAAAAAACATGGTTTAAAAAAAGACATGAGAGATTTTATCTTAACTCTTAACGTGTTTTCCAGATTAACAAATCTAGTTAAGTCTCACTACAGGCATCTAGATGGCATGTATAAAAAGGATGTTAGTATACAGCAGATACTGTTGTTTCTGGTCCGAACCAAACACACCTACAGACTAAGAATCAGATTATTGTGACTCTTTTGGTGATCTCTTAGAGAAAGAGAAAGGGTGTGGATTTTAACCTGTGCTGGAGAAGACAGCTCATGATTATTGTCCATTTTCAAAAGATTCTGTGGAAAAAAAGACTTTAGTTAGGTTTATAATGACTGCTACACAATGTATAAAATGTTATACAGACCAATTTCCTGTAAACTCCCTGAACAAAGTTATTCAGAAGTTGCAAAGTAAATTTTATATCATAATGCAATTTAATTAGGTAACATTTTCACTCATAAGGCTATTACTACAAATACAATTTGTGCAGTACTATTGCTTTTAGCCACAATAATCAGAAAAAAAAAAGAAATTTAAATGAAAGGTAAAAGGTAACAAAAAGCTCGCCCAGAAAAAGCAATAAGTCATCCAATAACCTAAATTTAGCTAGACTTTAACACGGCCAGAGATAAAACCGTGCTCAAATAGAAAAACAAGTTACTTATTTTTAGCTGAAACTGTAAAATCTGACTAAAAGTTAAATTGCATTAGCTAATAAGTAAGTAAAACAGCAAAGATACTAAAAAATGATATAGATTTACTTGAGATATGAGGGCCAAATTACCTACTTTAGTCTAAAAATAAATGAATAATGCTGGCTAATTGAAGTCGTACCGTTGACATAACTACATTTTCAACTTGGAATCGAGACCCGGCTCATGTAGAGAACAGACTCCCAATAGACCGATCCCTGGGATTTCTGTCTGCTTCCTTAACAATTCTTCAGACCAAATGCACAGGACATTTGCTTGGTGCCATATTTGACACCACACGCATGCTCTTTAATTTAAAGTTTTCACAACATAGCGTCAAGGTAAAGGGTTAGGGTTAGCCTAAACCATTTTGTTAAAAAGACACCAAGATAGACAGAGCTTTCACAAAAAGTAAATAAATTCTACATCCCACAGTAACACTTACACATGTCACTAGGGCTGCAACAATCACATTTTTAGAATTGAGTAATTTGTGGATTTCTGTAATCTCTGAGTAATTGGCTAAATCAGGGGTCACCTAGATGGTGCCTGTGGTCAACAGAAGGGTCAAAAATACTGTTACTGTGCTTTTTGAATCAGTTACATTTGCAATGATATTCAAATGGGTGTAATGACGATGGTAAGAAGAGTGTCTGCTATTGCATGTCCCAGGACTGATTATTATAATATAGGGTAAAACAATTTCCAAACAAAAATACATCAGGACTCACTCATACCATTTTAATAACACAGCATGTTGCCAACTTGACATAGAAAAAGTCAGTTCACTCTATGCATTTGAACTACATAAATTGTGCAGCAGTTGAATTATAATCAAATGTGTGCAGTCTCTCAGCAACCTGCCATCTGCAAAAGTCTTGTGACCTTGTTCTTGCAAGTCTTCTATTATGTTAGCATGTTATCTTTTTATGCAGGTGTAACTTAGTCATAATCAAATGTCAAATGTAAATACATCTATTACATTAAAGAGTTTGTGCAATAAGTCTATTTTTTTCATAACTGAATCAAAAGAGTCAATAAGATAATTGATAAGGAATCAAATCAATAAGTGAATTCAATAACAGAAATGTAAGAGTTAATTTCTTATCAATTCTAACCCTGTAGAACCACTTCAGCTTTATAATGAATTTATAATTATATTATTGTCAGCTGTTGTTGGTCCTCACCTGTCCAACGTGCATCTGGTGGTTTTCTGATGCTGCTGATACATTAAGAAATGATTCATCTTCCTGTTTGCATCAAAAGTAAAGGATACAAGGATGTGTTTATCATAGAATGGTGGGGAAAAAAACCAAAGCAACATAGCTGACATACTTTCTGAGGCAGTGTGATAGGAGAGTCATGGAACAGTTGTTGGCTGAAATTTGATAAGACTGGCTAAGATGTGAAACTTAGGCATTTTCGGACTGACCTGAGTGACCTAGAGTTTGTTTTTCTATACCAATATGCAGATGTTTTGTTGTTCCACTAAAGGCAGATAAACAATTCCTTACCTGTGTATTTTTAGACTCATTTACAGATGAGCTACTGCAATCAGAAGTTGATGAGACCAGAGCCTGTAGAGGACGAGTCAAATTTGGTTATTAATAAAAACAAAGCCACAAAGAAAAAAGCAAGACAAGCGTGTAAGGGAATACAGAGTTCATATATAGATACTGTATATAGAGAGTTTTGAGCTCTCTTACCTTGTACTGGTTGTGAAAAGGGCTTTGAGAAACTTTTTTCAGCATGTTTTGTAGTGCTGCAACACTCTGCAAAAATAAAACCTTAACATTTGCTGCAGCGCTAGTGGCATGGAAACAGTCACACTGGGTTTAGATACAGGAGATCAGAATAATATAGGATAACTGAATATATTTTCCAAAATACACAAGACATATCAATATATAAATAGGAAGCTTGTTGTGAGATTTTCCCTATTTTATTACTCCTGCACACATGTGCACACACACATTTACACACACAAAGCATTCAACCACTAACACCACACTGCTTTAGGGTTTGACTGGCCAGGTCTGTTTAACAAAACAAAAAGCATTCCAGCATTAAATGCCAGCACACTGTGTGTCAGCAGTCACATGGAGAGAAACATACCAGCACACACACACAAATGCATTTACACAAATATGCAAAACAAGGAAGAAGATGGTGGAGTCCTCAATCATAACTAGAACAACTAGATGCATACGTTTAGGGTACCACAGCATAGGAACCTTTTACTGATTCCTACTATCACAAAAAACATTTTGTATTGTGGTAAAGAGTTACTTACGGGACGTCTTTCCCCTGTTACAGATAATGATTCCCCACAACCTTGGTTTTCCTATAACACAAACACACAGTTATTGTGTAATTGGAAGATAATTCAAAGTCAACACAGCCAATAACTGGATTAGATAACTTTCACAGGACTTACTGAGAATTTTTTGTAAAAAAATATTACCAATAAAGTTGAGATAAGTGTAGGTAAATGCAAGAAAGGATTGCACATATGCACCAAAAATGTGCAACTGAGATATGTTTTAATTAAGCAAAAGCAGTTATATATTAACAAAATACCTGAACATTTCCCTAAAACTGCTAACAGTTAATTAAAATTAGTGAACCAATAGCTAAATACTATCAGTTTAACCAGAAAGAAAAAGCTAAAATCTAGCCTATAGATAGAATAATTTAAACGCAAAGACAGATACATTACATGAATACAATATTAAGTTTTCACGATTTTAAATTGAACCAAAATGCTCGAAAATGGCAACATCATTAAATTCATATGGTGAGGGCTTGGTAAAAGGTAAAACAAAGATTAAAAATTAGCCAGCATGCTAAGGTGAAGTACAGCAAACACGATAGATCAAATAATTTCTAAAGTAGGTAATATTTTTTACAAAATAAGTTACAAGATGTTGGTTAAATATGATTTACAATGTGCTGAAACATTTCAACTTACTATGGACACTTCCAGTTTAGTCAAAAGGAAAGTGACAAATAACAAGTGACAAATTAAGGACTAACGACTGATATAGTTAAAGTTGATAGCGGTTAGCCTCTTTAGCTAATTTAAAATCGATTTTACAAATTCTAAAAATAAATAAATAAATAAGTCCAAAATTTAAAAAAAATGCTGAACTCCATACTGTCGCACACAATTTCACCAGACGGGACCAGGACTCTTCGCGTAACACAAAAAATGTTTAAAATAAAAGTTGTTTTTTACTACTTTTTTGAGAGTAAGACATTTTGTCCGTGATGAACTTTTCGTTACGTTTTAATCGGGCGGAACGTAATGAAAATGAGACATAAAGTTGATGCGTCACCCGTTTATGTTTTTTTTAACTACTTACATATGGAACTAGTTGCTCAATTATGGAAAAAACAAAGTCTTGAAAGTTTTTTCTATTTAAAATATTACGTTTTGATTTCCTAAATCTCAGCATTCTACACACATTTTCTAAATTCTCGAACTTACCGCAGCTTCGTCACACCTCATGCTTGATGACGTCTCCTTTTCGTAGATATTTAGGGTAATAGTTGTTTATTTTTTATCCATAAAACGCAATAGCTTAATGCGTCCTACGCTTCTAAAGGTAAATTAACTGTTGATCTGACGCACCTGCTATTGCAGCCCAGCTCAGACACATAGCCCTTCGAAAATAAAAGTCCTTGTTTGTTAACGTCATTAGTGTCATACATTTTGACTTTATACTTTAGATTTCATGTTTTAAAGTAAGGACATGCGTTAAAAAAATTGGAAACTAATAACAAAAGCGCAGTGAAAAATAAAGTTTACCCAAAAAGTTGACTTTTCATTCGTAATAGTTTATTCATTCATTTAATACAAGGCTAAAATCTTGCAATTGCATGTCCATATTTGGAGCACTGCAACTTTTAAACAATTGAAAATAAACGTATTTTGAACAACGCCTTAAAACTTAAATCTTGCCTCTTTTGGCAGTTATTTTGAAAAATGTACACCTCTACGTCATTTCTGGTTTAAGTGTATCAATGCAAACCGACCGGTTGTCCTGGCTCAGCTGGACTGGGTGGAGTGACTGATCCAAGTGTGTCTGATGTTCACTGTTTAACAAACAGTTTGACGCATTTACTTCCATTCAGCAAAAGAGAAAAAGACAAAGAAAGAAAGAAGTTCTGTTGAAAGATTTTGATGAAACTTTTTTGTCAATAAGTGTTAAAATGTTATCTTTTCTGCATGTCTCTCATCAAAATATGACGTTTTGAAATAATTTAGGGAAAAAAATTGGAATCTTTCGGCATTTTGATCATATGTTAGATGAATATTTTTGAAAAATTTTTTTTCCAAATGTTATCTTTCCTGCATGTTTCTCATCAAAATATAGAGTTTCGAATTTTTAAAAAAATTGTTTTTTTTAATTTTTCAAAAACAAACCAAATTTTTGGTCAGATGTTAAAATATTTTGATGAACATTTTTGAAAATTAATTTTCAAAATTGTATCTTTTCTGCATGTTTCTCATCAAACTATGACTTTTTAAATTTATTTGGGGGAAAAAAATTATGGAATTTTTTGACAAAACCATACATTTTGATTATATGTATAATTTAAATTTTTTTTTTTTTTTAATTTTTCAAAAACACCAAATTTATGGTCAGATGTAAAAAATCACCCAAAACATGCCTTATTATAGCCTTACATCATGAAAAAATCATGAAAAAGTCCCCGAAATGCACTAAA